ATTCATGTTACAGTTTTACATAATAGTGAGTTCATTTTGACATGTTTATAATGCAAATAACATAATTTGCTCTATTGCAATCCCCAGCACTTCACCTTTCCCAACCCCTCTTCCTCTCTGATCCTCCCCCCTTTCTCTATGGAATATGATTTTTATTTATTTTTTGGTACTGGGGACTGAACTTAGGGGTGCTTAACCACTGAACCACATCCCCAACCCTTTTTATATTTTATTTAGCAGGGTCTCACTCAGTTGCTAAGGCAGGCTTTGAACTCACAATCCTCCTGCCTCAGAGCTACTGGGATTACAGGCATGAGCAACTGCATGTGGCTTAGAATAAGATTTTTAAATGGCTTTACCTTACAGTTGTAAACAACACTGTCAGAGTAGATGTGATTTTTCAGTCTTAGATATTATGCTGCTGGAGTCACTTTCGGTGACTTTTCATTTCTTCAATATTCCAAAAGGTAAAATGAAAATTAATGCATTAACTTTTTATCATATTCTTCTTTTGATGGTAACTTATGATGCAACAAAAGGCCTCTGGAATATCTTCACCACATACATCACTGATGACACTTAACTTTGGTGTGTATTTTCTGGTGCTTAGTTAAGACTGAAGTTCCCACAGAAAGTTTTCCCACATTCATCACACTCATATGGTTTTTCTCCAGTATAGATTCTCTGGTGATGAATAAGGGTTGAGATCTGACTGAAGGCTTTTCCACACTCTCCACATTCATAAAGCTTTTCTCCAGAGTGAATTCTCTGGTGATTAATAAGAGTTGAGTTCACATAGAAAGCTTTCTCACACTTCTTACACTCATATGGCTTCTCTTCTGTGTGGATTCTCTGATGTTGATGAAGGCTGAGCTCAGACTGAAAAATTTCCCACACTCATCACATTCATATGGTTTCTCACTACTATGGATTCTCTGATATTTAATAAGGTCTGAACTAACACTAAATGCTTTGCCACATTCTCTGCAGTCATAGGGCTTTTTTCCATTGTGGATTCTCTGATGTATAATCAGATGTGCCCTCACAGTTTAGGCTTTCTTACATTCATTACAAGTATAGGGCTTCTCTCCAATGTGGATTCTTTCATGCACAATAAAGGTTGAGCACACACTGAAGGCTTTTCCACTGTGATCACACTCATAAATTTTCTCTCCAGTGTGGATTCTCTGATGCCAAACGAGGCCTGAGTTCTGAACAAACATTTTTCCACACTCACTGCATTTACAACATCATTCTCCTATGGTCCTGCCTTCATGCTTTTCTAATTGGTCTTTATACTGACAGACTTCTCCATACTCAGGAATCTGTAAGGAATCCTCATAATATATGCTAGAGATCTTTTGGTGTGGATTCATCCTTACAAAATCCTTCCCTTTAAAGTTGATACCTTGTTTGCGACTCTGGTCTTGATTCTGAAACAATACAGAGAATTTTCAAATGTACTTTATTTCCTGCTGCTAAAGCAATAAAAATGAAATAGACTTAATTGGGGCTCTCAAACATGTTGTTAGTAATCTGAGGACACACCAATTATATGGTAGCCAGATCAAATGTCTTCAGTCAGCTTATAGAAAGTAACATTACAGAATTTCTGGAATGAATACTTGACTCAAATGGCTATTTAAGTCTATCATCTAAGAAAGTATTTAAAACAATATGGAATATACGTAAATATAGGAATAAGGGAATGTACTCAATTGTAGAGCTCATGTACGATCTCCAGTACCAAAATAAGTGAATAAATGAATAAATAAAAATAGCATATGATCATACATTAGATTTTGTGTATTTAATTAAATCGAAAAAGAGAAACTTTGGGGACTTGCAGATAGGGTTGATGAAGGGGTATGGGAATAAAAATGGCAAAAAAAAAAATTCAATTGATAAGAAGCCTGAAAAAAATGACAATAACAACATTTGATAGGTATGCTTTACCACCCACAAGAATCCACATTTCTTGAGCTGGAAGAGATATGGGGATGAAAAAGGCATTGCAGGTTATAATGCCATCACTGCAGCAGCTACTGTTGCTATCTGCTGTAGGATTCTGGAGGCTTCCTTCTCAGTGGTTCCTGAGCTGACAATGGAGCAGTGAAGAAAGGATTCTATTTACTCTGAAGAAGGTGTTAAAAACAAAACAAAACAAAATAAAACAAAACTCCTTTGATCCTGCAGGAAAAACAGTATCTTAGCAACATTATCTTAGCAACAGGGATGATATATCCCCTCTACAATTGTGACAAAGTAAACCCTTTACTGGTTCCCACCAGCTCTTTCTACCTTTGTAGTTCAGACCAACATGCACAGAGCTTAGTGGACTGCAGCCACTCTCTTATGCCCTGGGAACAAACATAATTTTGTCTCCAAACTTGATAAAAACTTTGCTCCAAACTCAACTTACAATAATGATTCCCCCTCTGCCTCTTTCCATGTTACAAACTGTCTCAACAGAGGTTAAGTTGTCAGAATGCACTCTTGATATGATAAAAATGGCATTTTATCTCTGATCTTCCTTTCCCTGTAACTTCAACATAACAATGATAAAACCAAATTCAGAAGGACATTTTACAAAGAAGAACAACACACAAAATCAATGCAGGGAAGAGTGGAGGACCTAGACAAGGAGAAAATAACATCTCCATTCACCCACTCCACCCGGAATTTAGCCCCATTAGAAAAGACAGTAGGGTCACTAAGAGCCTTGGACTCTGACACAAAGGCTGGGAACTGGATCTAAGATAAGAGCCTGGCTCAGCTATCAGCACACTCTACAAGTTCTAGCCTGGGCAATCTTGAATATGACCTGAGAGGTACAGAAGAAGAATGCCCACCCAAACCCCTCCCCTTGTTGCCTTCCCACACCATATCTGAAGAAGAGCAGCAATGAGTTCCCAGGCTTCTCTGCTAGGTGGAAGACTCTCTGGCACCTCCAGGGAGGTGAAGGAGCCTGGAAATCTCTGGGTATGGCCTACATTCGCCCAAGGATGTTGGGTCCTTTTCCTTGCAATGGCTCTAAGACTGGGTCCTGCCCAGGAGTGCCTCTGACCTAGGTCACTGGCAAGGCCTCTCAGGAAAGTAGTTTTTACTTTCTTGAGTTTTACCCTGAGTAGGACCACCCTTGAGTTTTGGAATTTAAAGGCACTGCAGCTGGGAAATGTCTCTGGTGCAGCTCTGTAGGATCCCCTTAAATGGACAACTGGGACAACACAACATCTTGTCTTCATTATTAGTTACCTGGTAGTCGACACTGTATATCCTGTGTTCTTTTTCCATATGATGGACTAAGCGTGAGTGTAGAACTTTCAAAACATAACTCCATTACTGCAGAAATCTCTCAGGCTACTCATTTATTTATGAAGGAATTTAACTTGACACCACACTCAGTATGCTGGTTTGGGCATAGAAACTTCCTAAAATGAAATATTCAGGTGCAGTCACCAAGTTTTAATCCATCCTATGACAAAACTTGAAATAAGAACATAATATAGGGACAACCTTGGGGTATAACCAGCCAAAAGTGAAATGGGGAAAAGCTTCAGGAAATCTGGATTCGAGTTCCACCTGCAAAAAGACTAGCTTTTAAAGTCTTGCTTACTATTTAATTTAGGGAATCACATTTCCTTCGACACTTGTGCCTTCTAAGTAGGATTAACAATGTATTAAAAACTTTATGAGAATGGGTTTTATGTAGCAAATGACATTCTGGTTTGTGATTTTCTTGGAGAGTCAGTAATTTTCCTGTTTAGTGGCTACCGGAGGGATTGTTGAGGATTGTATACTGTGACCAAAGATAAATCTTTGATAATTTACAGCATTCTTTTTCTCCTTACTGAAGATAGCCCCGACATTTGATACTATGGTAATAAGCCCATATGTGAAGGCTTAAATTAGATTTACTCCTGCAATTCTTATAATAGGGATGTTGGCAGATTTGATGTTGAAGTAACTTTAAAATATCACAAGGGACATAGGGGTGCAATTGGATAGGAGTGCTTTTTTCTCTTCTCTTTATTTTATGGTACTGGGTATTGCAACCAGGGCCTTGTACATATGCTAGGCAAGTGCTCTACCCCTGAGTTCCATCTCCAGTCCTGAAACAACTTCTAGTTCTATAGCAGTAGAAAATATTATTGACATCAATAAATTGACTATTTCAAAATAGCTAATAGTATTTTGATTGTCTTCAACACAAAAAATTATAAATGCCTGAAGTGACAATATACCAATTACCCTGATATGATTATTACACACTGTATACATGTATTGAAATGACACCCCATAAATACAATTACTTTCAAAGAAAAAATGCATTAAATTTTTGTTATCAATACCTGACACATGTTGCTGTGAATTACAAACATTAAGTCTCTGTTTTCTTCAATAATCTTACTATAAAGTAAACATAAGATTCTTTTAAAGCTTGGTATAGCTAACTTTTCATTAGTTGTAATGCTAGTATTTCATATCTCTTCTTTCTCCCATTTCCCTAAATATAAATAAAGTGAGGCCTCTGAACCTTGGTATTAAACATTTTGGGGTTGATTTTTTTTTTTTTTTTTTGCTGCGGAGGCTGTCCTGGGAATGTATGTTTGACAGCATCCCTGGCTTCTATTCACTATATACCAGTAGCATCCCAGGTTTCTACCAATGATACAACCAAAAAACATTAAATATCTCCCAATAACTGCTGAAGCTCTAACCTGAGATACAAAAGCCTATTCTCAAACAATTTTACAATTATAACTTTAACACAATAGTCTTTAGTGTTTCCTATTTTCTTTCTTTACCCATAAATAAGTCTTGCCAAGCAAATGGAGAGCTTCAAACTTCAACTTTTCACTATACTCGCCTAGAGTTGGATTTTTTGGCTTTACTCTTAAGTCAAGCAGATCTTCTTTTCTTCTTGAGCACAAAAGCCAGTAAGATACATCCTTGAAAACTACTTAAAAATTCCTATAGTACCAAAAATAATCCACACAGTAATTCAACAAGCATTTATTAAACGCCTACGTGCTCAGCACTGTACTAGGCACTAGGGGGTGCAGCAATACAAACATGAAAGTCACTGATTCCTGCCCTCAAGGAGCTTACAATGTAATTTTGAAAATAAATACAAGTGTGAAATTACAATACAGTATGCTAGAAAATAATTACAGAGCAATATATTAGTAAGTGCATGGATCACAGTACAAACTCAGAACATAAATGCTGAGGCAGCACAGAATAAGGGAGGTCTCAGTGTGAAGTGAAGTCAAATTAGGAAGAGCTCATTCAGACGATACAAAGGAAGCCTTTGAAGGGACTGATGAACATGAGCAGGGGCCAAAGATTAATGTAAGCAAAAAGAACAGCATGAGAAAGGCACAAAGGCAAGGGTTTTAAGACAACAGTAGAAGGCTACAGGAAGTTTAAATGTGGTGAATCAAGATGAACATGCTAGGGAATAATGAAGACTGAAGGCATTTAAATATGGAGGGCAAGGTAATGGAGAACACCATTATGGTGTTCTAGAACCATTCTATACCATTATGGTGTAATGGAACATCACTGTTCTGACAAGAATTACCTGCTGGGTACTGAATAAACAATAAATCATTATGAAAATGGAGTTTGGAAGATCATTTTAGAAGATTTATACAAGATGGGAATTTTGAGGACCAGGAAATTGAAAAGAAAGAATTACAGTACTTGGGCCTTACATTATGTGGATCTTCATGGAAAGCCATAAAGGGATGGCAGAAATGTAAAAGATCATGATTCAAAGAGAACATCAACTAAAAATTGAGTCAACAGCAAGACTTTGGATAAGGAGATTGGAGAGCAAAAAATGATGAAAAGGTAATTCCAACGTTGGGATAAAAAATAGGAAAGGTAATGAGTCTCTTCAGGGCAAAGCAGTTAAGCAATGATACCCATTTGAAAAGAAAATGGAGACTGGTTCAGAAGAGTGATGAGTTTTGTTTTCAAATATCAAGTTGTACAGGTAACTGGAAAATTCCAAAAATTGTGAGATGGCACACAGGGTGGAAAACAGGAAGCCACTCAAATATACAAAGAAAACAAGAGAGAAAAATAGGGATATAGAAAAAGCAGTAAGACATTATTTTCAGTAGAACGGAGGAAAAATGAAGAGACTAACAAAGAAAAGCCAGATATTGAATAAAAACAATCTAAAAGGATCCCACAAACCAAAGGAGAAGAGTATCCCTGAGGTGCAGGAGAGATTCAATAATATCAAAGATAAAGGAGACTAAAAAGGACAAGAACTATAAGAAGAAAAAAAAGTTAAAAAAAGCCTTTCTATTTATCCACTGGAGAGTCTAAGGACATTTCAATATGGTGAGTATTAAAGCTAATAAGGAGAAATTTTACTAATAAATCAAGGAGAAAATGGGTTAAAAAATGAATGATATCTGGAAAACCAGGGTTGAGAAGAGAAACAAAATGGTTGCTGGAAATGGGCAAAGAAGTTGAAGGTTCTTTACATTTCATGCTTTTGATAAACTTACTATTGTCATCCTAGCAATCTATCTCCCCAGCCTGGGACACTGAAGGTTTCATTTCCCTCCATAATTCTACTTTCCCTTAGGCAATTTGAAGAAATGTGTTTGAATCTAAGTTATTATTGCTTTATTTTCCCAGTTACTCTTTTAAAGATTTTATTTATATAATTTAGCTTTCAAGAACTAAAAAGCATCAAGAGAACCAACATTTAAAGAAAGTATAAACCAAAATGGTATTTTTCAACCAATTTTCTAGTTATTATAATGAATTTGTACTATACCAGTACCTATGCTGGCATTTACTCAGTACCTTTTATTACCAGGGATACATGTCTTTTAATGTTCAGCTTTCTCTTCCTCCATTAATTATCTATAAAATGGAGCATATAACAATAACTATCATAAGCAGGAGAAATGCTTAACATAGGGTTGGGCACAAAGTAAGTACTCAATAAATGCCAGCTATTATATGGAGACTTAGAACCAAGAGTAAAGCTAAGCAGCTTCGTAAGTGAATCAACTATTCTAGCACTGCTACCTTGCCTCATGGGGAAAGTCTTTGAAACCTAAGATACCTCTCCTTGGACTACGTTGGATGGCAAAAGAGTTATGGAAGAACCACCTTATCATGCCAGTTCCTAAAACTAGAAACTGAGGATGAAAGAAAGCACTGATGAATAGTTCATTTCAGATTAAGAGCATAAAAACAGAATCTGCAGATAAAGGAGCATAATATACGTAATTCAGAGTTAAAAGTTCAAAATGATGTTGTAGCTCAGTGGTTTGAGTGCTCACCTCACATGTGGAAGGCACTGGGTTTAATCCTCAGCACCACATAAAAATAAAGGTATTGTGTTCATCTACAACTAAAATTTTTTTTTTTTTAAATATTTGAGTGGTAAGAGAACTTGAGACAAAGAATGACTTTTACTTATATCTTCAAAGAATCTAATCTTAAATCACTTGGCTATTTCTATATAATATGCCGAATCAGCATTTTTTGGGAGGCCATACTGAGAAGTGAACCCAGGGTGCTTTTCCACTGAGCCATACCCCTAGTGCTTTTCATTTTTTTGAAAACAGGGTCTAAGTTGCTGAGGCTGGCTTTGAATCTGTGATTCTCCTGCCTCAGTGGGATTACAGGCATGCACCAGCACACCCGGATTAATCGGCTTTGGTAATTCTTTCAAGTGACAATCTTTTCTCAAATTCACCCCAGTTTAACACTAACATTCCTAGTTGTACTATTTTTTTTTTCTCTGAATTTCTGCCAGATGCTCAGTAATTCTGAGGTTTAAGTAATCTGGCTACACACTACTCTGGGTACTGATATCTAAAGAAACATTGGCTAGTATACTTATAAACATTTTATTATGTTGCTCGGTTAAAAGAGCTTTGTTTTAGAATTGAAGGCAAGTGTTTTCCTAAAATATGTAAGAGGAGTGTATGGGTACATACGTATGTGTGCACAAATGTGTATTTTCCTTCTAACATACCCATCCTATGCACACAAGGTAGCACTGATGCCATGCAGAATTAGTATCTTACAAAGGGTAAGGCACAACTGAAACAGAAAGCAAGGATCTAGACACAATCAGACTTGTTTCTGGTTTGTTGAAATTTAAAGTACAGGAATTAGGAATGGTCATCTATAAGTTAAAAAAAAAAAAAAAGGAAAGAAAAAGAGAATAAGAAAATAGAATAAGAAGAACTGGGCATGGTGGTGCACCTGTAATCCCAGTAGCTCACAAGGCTGAGGCAGGAGATCAGGAGTTCAAAGCCAGTCTCAGCAACTTAGCAAGGCCCTAAGTAACTCAGCGAAACCCTGTCTCTAAATAAAATATTAAAAAAGGCTGGGGATGAGGCTTAGTGCCCTTGGGTTCAGTCTCTAGTACCAAAAGAGAAGAAAAGAAAGGATAACAAAATGAACTGTTCTGAAGAAGTTAACCAAACAAACTAGGATGACTGGTGATACGAAGGTACTGATGGTTTAATGAAATAAATGCAGATAATAATCTTCATGTTGTAGATACTCAAGGTGGGCTATAGGGAGGTAGAGAGGAATGTTATAGAGAAGAAATTTCTGATTGTTCCAAAGGTGTGCATCTTTGAGGTAAGGTTTTATGATTGGCTTTTTAACATATCAATCATAAACCAACACGATTATTATCCTTTTTCAGGATTGTTACAGTGTGAAACTGCATTATTTCTCTTGGAGTTTTCATCAGAACCCATATAACTGTCTTCTGAATAGACTTAATGTAATTAATAATTTCAAGTTTGAAGGTTAATTTTGAAAAGCAAGTTATTCAATTCAAAGCCTGGTGAATAAAAGAAATAAAAGACTAAGACTAATAGAGGGTTTTCTTGTATAGTTTATTAAATGGGAATTCTAAGAATGTTCCAAATATTTAGAGGAAGAGAACTCTTGGAATATAGTACTTAGAATAAGTAAACTACCTAGTTTAAAGGACATCCTATGTAGAATGCATCAAATTTGGCACGTTACTTTGTACCAGTCTCTTTACTTTACACAGTATCCCTTGGTTTACCAAAAGCCTGAAAGATGAAATACAATGCCTGGTGATGATAAATTTAATAGTGTCTTTATTGGTAGATTACAGACACGATTACTGATGGACAACATCAGAACTCAGAAGAACGAGGAATTGTGAGGTACGGTATTTAACAAATTACCATTGTGGATATATAAGTTATACAAACAAATGGGAATTAACAGATGAGAAATGATAAATGAGGTGCCGAGGTTGTATAAGGAGGTAGGTCCAGAGTAATGATAAGAATGACAGACAATCTATTCAGGGAGTTGGTGAAGATTAATAGGAACCTAAGAGAGTGGCACTGTAATGGGCCAGAAGGGATGATGCCTATTCTTTTTAAGGATTCTTTCTTCAAGCATCAGCTGTCTCCTCTTTATCCTATGTGATGTCATAACTAAGAGAGTGCAAATACTTTTTGTATCAGGGTAGAGTGGGGAGGTGGAAGGAGAATCAGAAGTCACCAAGGTGTAACTATCCAAGCTCAAGAAAAGCCAGGCTGAGCCTCCACTCACCTCTTTCTCTGCATCACTCTCACAACCATCTAATGCGTCCACTTCCTTTGCTGACACAGGTACTGGGACTGGGGGTGGTGAAGGATACGTACAGATGCTCAGTGATTTAGTGGAGTCAGTAAAGGTGATAAATGAAGAAAAATGCTGGAGTGCTGTTAAAAATATAGCATTTTGAGTTTGCATGGGAATATAGATTTTCATCAACTAGAAGGAACATTAGAATAAAAAAAAGAAACACATTAAGTGTCTGTAAAATTTCCCTAGAACTAGGATCTTAGAAAGCTAAATATAAATATAAATCTCACAAAGAGGCTGTTTTAGATGCTGCAGCAGCTTCTTGGATCAGATTAGCAGTACAAGGGCACCTTGAGGGGAATAAATGAGAGAAGGGGATCACAGGCCATGGGAAGCAGAGGAATTAGGAGTAGCAGCCTCTCTTAAAACTATAGTTACTCACCCAAAAGACAAAGTTTAGTGCCTCAAGCCATGACAAATAAATTGCTCTAATGCTATTTTAATTTCTAAGATAGTATTAGGCTGTTGGGAGCTCTACTCCATTAGATATCACCAAAGACAATCAAGCTAATCAACCTGGGTGTCAAGGCACTGGGCCCAAACTACTGAAGAGCTATTCTATCTTTGACATCACTATAAATTCTGCTACTAAATGATGATGATGAACTTTCTGCCTTTTTTACTAAATGAAAGACCTCTCCACCAGTGTGTGGTTTGTCTAATGTTGAAAAATGTTCAAACTGTGACCGAAGCTTTTCCTAAACTCCTAAGGATTCAGATTTTTCTCCACTATGGATTCTCTGATGTCGTATGAGACTTGACCTCTGAATAAAGGCTTTCCCACACTCACTGCATTGGTAGGGCTTCTCCCCTGTATGGATTCTCAGATGTTGAATGAGGCCAGTGTTCCCATTAAAAGCTTTCCCACATTCTTTACATTTATAGGGTCTTTCTCCAGTGTGGATTCTCTGATGTTCAATAAGGCCTGACTTTTGACTGAAGGCCCTCCCACACTCACTGCATTTGTAGGGCTTCTCCCCAGTGTGGCTTCTCTGATGGCCAATAAGATGTGAGCTCCGCCTGAAGGTTTTCCCACACTCATCACACTCATAGGGCTTCTCCCCAGTGTGGATTCTCTGATGTCCAATGAGGTGTGAGCTATGACTGAAAGCTTTCCCACATTCATTACATTCATAGGGTCTCTCCCCACTGTGGATTCTTTGATGTAGAATAAGGCCTGCACTCTGACTGAAAGCCTTCCCACACTGATTACACTGATATGGCTTCTCCCCAGTGTGGATTCTCTGGTGCAGGATCAGTCCTGTGTTTTGACTGAAGGCTTTACCACACTCCTTACAGTGATAACGTTTTACTTTGTTGTGGATATCCTGATGGGAAAGAAGGGCGGACCTATAACTGAAGGCTTTACCACACACGTTACACTGATAGGGTTTCTCCCCAGTGTGGATTCTCCAGTGGCGAACAAGGCCTGAGCTCTGAGCAAAGCTCTTCCCACATTCATCACACTTATGTCGTCTCTCTTGCGTGGGATTTCCCTGCTGCCTCTCTAATTTGCCTAGGTCTTGGGTTTCTCCATGCTCAAGACCCCTGATAACATCCCCGTTGTATTTGGCAGCTGTCTCTCCATGTGGTTGAACTCCAGTAGATATTACCTGTTTTGAAGCTAATTCCTTGTTCTCATTCCTGGTCTCAACACCTGAAATAAAAGTATAATAAACATTAAGCCAATGTTATTTCCTATTCTCTAAGCTGGAAGAAAGGAATTGAAGATAGGAGAAAAGGAAAATATATATGGAATAATACAAGTAAATACAAAACTTTAGTCTCCAAAATGGCTTATAACAGGGGGAAGATGTGCAGGATCACACAGAAGTACCATAGGCCAATTGGGAAGGGGTGCCATGAACAAAAAAAGAGGATTACTGATGGGGGACAGGAGTTGGGAAGGAATCAAGTAAGAAGTGGGAAGGAACATGGAACTACTAAAAGGTTTAATGAATGGCACAGAAATGGGCAAATACCTCATTCATGAAAAGGAAGGTTTATGTGAGAATCTATGTCAGGATCCTACGAGAATTGGGAGGGAAAAAAATACATGAACTAAGAGAGCACTAGTGAGATGTCAATTTCCAACTGGACCAAGACCCAGGTACAAACTATGAGGAATTTGTGTATTAGAGAAGAAAGGTTTAAGTTTTAAACCTCAAGGAGGCTTAATGTTGTATCCCTTTCTGATGAATCCTGAATTTCAACTCAACTATATTTCCCAGAAAGCTCATAGATATCACGTATATAACAAACAAAAAAACTTAAATGATATTCATAAGCTCTCCTTACCCAGGGAGAACATATTTCTGTAATTCTCGGGCCTATTATCTCTACTCAGATCCTTCTGTGATGGATCAAGAAGCCACTCCTCTCGAATAAGGGACACAGCCATATCTTCAATCTTCTCCAAAGTCTGAAACAAAACAAGATCTTCATTTGGGGCATACAACTGTTTCACAGCCCAAGTCTAGAATGTAAGAGAGACCTACCAATGTATTAAGTAATGGAAATGAACCGTGATAAGGGATGTGAACAGCTGGGAAAAGGGAAATATGCTATATTCATTGTTAAATTTATCACTGTGCAAAAGAATTTGGGTAAGCTCTTTTTAAAAAAAAAATTTTTTTTTTAGTTGTAAATGGACATAATGCCTTTATTTTTTATTTATTTATTTATTTTTGTGTGTGTGAGAGGTGCTGAAAACAAACCCAGTGCCTCACATGTGCTAGGCAAACACTCTACCACTGAGCCACAACCACAACCCTAGCCCAGGTAAGTTCTTGAATAGGTATTACTACAGACAGTCCAAATTTAGGGCAGATGCTAACCAGAGCTATGGGGATTTAGTGAGAAGAAACATGCAACGTACCTGGAACCCTGCTGTGAGAAGTGTAGCTGTTACCTCCTTGTCTCTGGAACTTCCTTTTTGGGAAGAGGTAGGATTCTGGGAAGCAGACAGGGCTGAGGAGAAAGGAGTTATAAATGAGACCAGTCTTGTCCTATGGGTCTGGGAGCTGGTATTTAACCATTCCAAATTATTTGTATTTCAGCATATATGCATGCTGAAGATTTTGCATGTAGAATGCTGATATCTTAGACTCTTGGCTCATACCTACAGTTGCCCACAAAACACCTGCACTTTGATGTCCTTAAATGCAGCCTAAAGTCATGCTCAAAAATATAAAGTGGATCTCAGGGTGGTGGTACACACCTATAATTCCAACTATTTAGGAGGCTAACGCAGGAGGATCACAAGCTTGAGGCCAGCCTCAGCTCAGCAAGATCCTATCTCAAATAAAAAATAAAAAGGACTAGGATGTAGCTCAGTGGTAAAATGCCCCTTATTTCAAACCCCACTTCCTCCCCTGTAATTAAAAAAAAGAAAAAAAAGCATACTGGTTTCCTAACAGAAATTCCCTTTCAATTTTTTCTCTATCACCCAAACTAATATCTTTGTGCTTGTGAATAGTACTCCTTTAAGTCCTAACCTCCTAGCAAACTAAAAATGAAAAACAATCTATCTCTATTAACTCAATTACCTTTCTGAAATGTGTACCATAGTTGCCAGTCTCTACTTCCACTGGATATGAGACCACTTATTACCAAATTAAACATAGGCTGTGTCTTGAGTAATAGGCTTTTATTCTTCAGGTAAGAATTATACTAGTAATCGAGCTTCTATGCTTCTTTTGAAATATAAACCACATATATGAAAAAATGTGGGCTGGGATGTAGCTCAGTGGCAAAGCGTCTGCCTTGCATTCACAAAGCCCTGGGTTTGACCCCCCAGTTCCAAAAAAAAAAAAAAAATAAAAATAAATAAATAATAATAATTAAAAAACCCTTAATGTGGGCTGAGGATGTGGCTCAAGTGGTAGCATGCTTGCCTAGCATGTGTGAGGCACTGGGTTCGATTCTCAGCACCACATAAAAATAAAGATGTTGTGTCCACCTAAAACTAAAAAATAAAGAAAAAATGTACTGCAGGGGAAAATGAGATTGAAACATATTATTCTTCAAGAAAGTAAGTAAATTCTCAAAAAATGACAGTGAAATGTCAAAAGGCTATAGGAGACAGAATCATGAGGCCTACTCTGGCCAAATCTGAGATGATGCAAGCATCAATTGAAAGACTATAACAGAATATTTATGGGATAAATAAAAATTTATGAGTCTATGCTGATAACAAAAGAAGAAAATGCGCTCTTAAAATAAACAAAAAATAAACGTAGAAGGAGTGACAGTTAAAAAAAGAAAATCATCATTTTTCTAACCAGCTTAGTAATCACTCAGTAAAGAAGCATCAATGAATACCAAAACTAGTATTTTTTAAGAAGCAAAAGTTTGATGAGGATTAGGATTACACAAACTCAAGCATACCTCTCCACAAATTATTTACTAATGCAAAGGGAAAAATCAGTAACTTTACAATGATTAACCTTGCAAGAATAACTTTAATCAAGTCATCAAAGACAACATCACCAATAGGAGAAATTTATGTTGTACCCCTGAAAAGAATACAACATCACTTTTGAAGTGTTCTGGCCAAATATGTACAACCTGAACCTAAACATGAGAAAATATTACAAGAATCCAAATTGTAGCTGTTCTACAAAACATCATATTTGTATTCTTCATAACTGTCAAGAACATGAACGAGAAAGAAAGAATGAGAAACTATGTCAAATTAAAGGGTACTAAAGAAAATTGTATTTTTTTGTTTTGGTCTAGACTGGACAAAAAAAAAATTATTGGGGCAATTGGCAAAATATGAACTATGGACAAGATTAATATTACATCATTTTTACATTCCTACTGTGTTTAATTTATTGTAGTTATCTAAGAAATGCACATGTTTGAGGAAATGCATATTTCAATATTCACAAGTGATGTATTATGATATGAGCAAAATCTCAAAAATGTTTATGTTGTAAATACACTGGGGTAATAGAAATGTGTGACTACTTAAAAATCTCTAAATCCTTTAATTTGTACATAAGTTTACCACTAGGACTAACAGCCTGCATTTGAAATCTAGATAAACATTTAAATTTAGATATTGAGCTGGTCTGTAAATAGTAGTTCTAGCTTCTGATTTTCTAGGAACTAGATAGGTCCCAAATGTGTCTTTTCATTCCTATGAAATCTGACTCCTCACCTCTGTCCTGTGATTTACGCTGGGTTATCACAGGTTGGAGCTGAGTACTTGGAGGTTCTGGTGCAGATTCTGAAGGAACCACTTCCTCCCAGAGTACCCTATGTCCATGTGCACGAGCTGGGACCTAGAAACAATGGGACAGTTGGATTATAAGAAATCCCTTTGAGAAACAAAGTGAACAACATAAGAGGACCAACAGCCTATCTTCAGGGATACACACTTTGGGAAGAAACAGTAGGATTTCTTTTTTTCCCCTAGGGGTAGCAAAGAATACAATCATGTGAACTAGACTGAAAGAAAGGCATTTCTTCTCAGTCCTTAGGGAAAAGATTTTGCCCTCACTACTACACAGAACACCAATATTTTATGCTCCCAGGCAAGGGGAAGGAAAAAAAAAAAAAAAAAGACAAACTACTACCTAAAGTAGCGCCATAAAGTGGCAAAAATCATTTTTGATGAGGAACTAGGGACACCGAGTTCTGACTTCAGATCCATCTTTTAATTATTTGGGTGTTCCTAAAAAGATAATTTAAGCTTCCTATCTTAAATTTTTCAGGTTCCCACCTGGCAAACAGGGACAGTACAGTAGTAGGGATGTTATGATAATAAAGTATGGATTATACTCTTTACAAAAACAAACTACCCAGTTTCCAGGACTCCCACAATCACAGCATGTACAACTTCAACTTACTGGCCGTCCTAGTATATCAATCTGTTTTTCCAAATCCTCCAATAAGGTCACCACTTCTTCTCCATTTTCTAACTGATGTTCCTTAACTAGAGTCTGCAGCTCCTCAGGCAGGATAGTCAGGAACTGCTCCAGCACCAGCAGCTCCAGAATCTGCTCCTTGGTATTCAAATCTGGCCTTAGCCACTGATGGCAAAGTGCCCGGAGCTGGATCAGAGCCTCTCGGGGTCCTAGAGTCTCCTGGTAGCACAATTGTCTGAAGCGTAGGCGGAATAGTTCTTGGCCAGGAGGGTTATTTTCATGCAGGCTAGATTCTGGGTCCCAATCATGATCTTCCTCTACCTTGACGATTACAAGGTCCTCTTCAGGAGTCTGGTCAGGTGGAGATGGGGCTGAAGAAAGCTTTCTTGATTCCGTAGCCATTTAGGGCCAGAAAAACTCGGGAAACTTGTTTTTACTACCTTCTTTTCCTTCTTAAGATAAGAACCTTCTGAGGGCCTCAAGAATACTTCTTCAGAAAGAGAAAATTAAAAAATAGTGTTAAAGCAAGTTATGAGTCATAATGACTAAGACAGCTTAACAAGCTCCACCCCCAAGACACAGACTTAATGGCTCAACTATGTATATGTTCCAGCAATAACTCCTTACATTTCCTTAAGCTTCTGTCATGCCAAACTGACCCTGGAAATATCCCTTCCTTCTGCTTTCTCTGTAGGGTCTTGAAGGATGGTTAAACAAAGCAGGAAACCATAGAGACTTGGACTAACTGAAATTCTGTGCTTAACTTCAGCTGGTCCTTTAACCCCTGTTAGCATTCTTTATTTCACCAGTTACACTAAACTGTTTCTACATACTTTTTCAACCTTTCTCTCATTGATAAGACTAATTTCCAAATAATCTAGCTCAAGAGGAAGAACTTTCCTTTCTTCCACCTAACATTTAGCATCAATGCCCATGCCCACCCAACTTCCCTCCTATCTCAAGACTAATCTACTTTGGACCTCAAGTCTAGCTTCAGAATTCTTTTTGGAACAGTGAATCTCCTAGAAACCTGCATGCTCCAGGAACATCTATAATGCAAAAACTGAATCCCACACACCAATAACATTCTAAAATATAAATAAATACAGTAAATATTCTTTTCAGTCTTTCACTTAGCATAATACATTTGAAATTACTCAATGTTATATGTACTGGTAGTTTATTCATTATACAAATCAATGTTTATCCACTCCCCAATGGAGAGATAATCTGAGTGGTTTCCAGCTTTTGATGATTATGAATAAAGCCACTATGCACATTTGCACATTAGTTTTTATGTGAATATAATGCTTTTCCACTTGGGTAAATTGTCCAAAACTAAAATTGTTGGGTCATAAAAACACATGTATAACTTTATAACCAAGTGTCAAACTGTTTTTCAAAGTGGCTGTAACATTTTGTATTGCACTAACAATAAATGAGAGATGCAGGTGCTCACCATATCCTTGCCAGTACCTGATAATTGTGTTTTTAAAATGAGAAATTCTATATGTAGTAGTATCTCATTTAAATTTTGCCCTTCCTTACCCACCTGTAGATGTTGAGCATCTTGTTATGTATTTTATGTGCTATTTTGCCATGTTTATTCTCTTTGGTGAAGTATCTATTGGAAACTTTTGCCTACTTGGAGTTTTTTTTTTTCAAATTTTGAGAATTCTGTATTTATTCTGGATACAAGTTCTTTATGTGATATGCGATTTACAAATATGTCTTTCGTTTATTCTTTAAATAGTGGCCTTTGGAGAACACAAATCTGTACTCTTTTTGAAGTCTAATTCCTCAATATTTTTTTTTTCTTTTAAGGACTGTTTTTGATGTCCTATCTAAGAACTCTTTTGCTTAACCTCAAATCGCAAAGATTTTCTTCTAGAAGTTTTATGTTTTACATTTTAATTTTTTCTCAGAGTTTGAGGTATGGATAGGGGTTCTTATTTTTTTCCCCTTGCACACTTCTATAAATTTGTTCTAACACCATTTGCAGAAAGGGTTATCCTTTATCTACTCTCTTTATATCTCTTGTCAAAAGTCAATTGACTATAGATATGTGGGTCCAATTCTAGATTCTATATTCTGTTCCCTTGATGTAAATTTAACAGATACAAAACTGTCTAGATTGTTGTGGATTTTCAAGTCTTAAAATCAAGCAGTCTGAGTCTTGCAACTTTGTTGTTTTTGAAACTGTTTTTGTCTTTTTCAGTTCTGTTAAAAAATCCTAGAATTGGATCTTTGTTGATGTACAGCTTATTTTAAGAATATCTTTTCTTTCTCTTCCTTTCTTCTTTTTTTAGGGGTGGGTGGGGAGGTGGTGCTGAGAATCAAACCCTGGACTTCACATATGCTAGGCACGTGCTCCACCTCTGAGTCACAACCTCAGCTAGGGATATCTTATATTGACAACAATGTTAGAAATGACATTTTAACAACACTGAGTTTTCCATTTCATGAACTTCAATCTTGCTCTTCATTTTCATTTGTGCCCAAATGACCTCTTCCCACCTCCATCTTTGAGCACCTGCTTCTTAATGACTTCATGTCATTAAACATCAAGTTTCAGCACTGAGATTCACAACATAAACACTTCCCTCTTCAGGGCTTTGAGACAGACAGGAACTACATTTCCCTCCTGAGGTAAGTTAAAAGTTTGTCTTGCAAATCCAAATCCAGCCTCCTTTAATGGACAGGGGGCCCAGCATAGCTAGTGCCCTTCTGTTATTACTCATTGCCCAACATACAAGCCCAGGATCTACTTCTCCTGCTGGAGTTTGTGATCTTACCCCAGGAAGAAACTTTCTGGGCCAGATATCTAGCACTAACCTTCATCTGAGTGTGGGGAAAACCATGACTTTGTATAAACCTCTATTGGCACCTTTGTTTCAAACTTCCTTCTTTTGGCAGTGGAGAGGTGGAGAACGGGGGAACAGGGGGACGGGGGAGGGGAGGCTAGGGATTAAATTTAGGGGCACTCCACCACTGTGCCACATTAGAGGCAGTGTCTCACTGAGTTGTTTAGTGCCTTGCTTTTGCTAAGGCTGGCTTTGAACTCACAATTCTCCTGTCTCAGCCTCTCTGGAGCTGATGGGATAAGGGTAAGAGAAAACACTGCCACTTGAATTGGAAGTTATTTATTTCTTTACTACTCTATATCTCTCTATAAAAATGTATACTGCTTTCCCATTACTGTAGATTATTAATTGCTAGGGAGTTTTTACTTCTTAACTTAAAATGTATATTCCTCATGGATACAGATTTATCTTATTAATAGAACCAAAGAACATTACCTTATTTTATTTATAATACCTAACAGAGAATATGTCTAGGTTTGTTATAAAAGGGTTAGAAACAAAAATCTGAGGTCCAAAAAGAGTCTTATTTCATGGCCCTATGTATTTGTGGGACATATATCTCTGGTTTCTATCCTTGGTATAGGTATCATCTCTTGCCTAAGGTTGATATGGTTAACTGGTCTTCTTATCTTTGGTTATTCTTTCTCTCATTTATGTTTCACATGCTACCTTTTGGGGGTTGAATTGTATTCCCAGAAAAGAGACATCCTAACCTCTGGGATGTGTAAATGTGACCTTCCTTGGAATTAGGGTCTTTGCAGATATAATCAAATTAAGATGCAGTTATATTGGAATAACGTGAGTCTTTAATCCAACATGACTAGTATATTTTTAAGGGAAGAGACTCAGATACTCACAGAGGGAGACAGTCATGTCTTAAGAGGCCTCCTTTTCACAGACCTACAGATAAAAGAAAGCCATTTGATTACAGAGACAAGAGTTACACAGGTGCAAGCCAAGGAATTCCAACAATTACTAGTAAAAACCAGAAGCTTGAAAAGTACAGTCCCGATGACACCTTGATTTTGGATTTCTAGTTTCCCTATTTGTCAAAGAATAAACTTCTGTATCATTAAGCCATCAACTTTGTGATACTGTTAGGACAGCCTCAGGAAACTAATATATTGCCAAGGAGCCTTTTAACAAATAAGTAATATAGCTCATCTCCTTTAGAATCTTTCTACAGGGAACCCAACTCTAGCATGGTATGCAAGATCAAGAAAAGTAGGTAAAGGAAACACTTTGTTTTGGTTATCTTAGATTGTGTTAGCTAAATGTTTTAACACCTACCACTTTTAACATTTATGCACAAAAAAATTCAAAACGTGTGCATTTGTGAAACAGACGCTTCCATAAACGTGCTCAAAAGAACTAATCAAACAACAAAATATGTTTTTAGAGATGGTGGTTCCACTCACAGTAGTCTGACAAAAATTATTCATTATTGACTCGAGTTTTGGAAATGAGACCCTCCCAAAGAGTTCTCAGGCATCTACTAAAGTTAGCTTTAATAAATTAAATAAACTATTCTGAATAAGATACCATACTATCCTGAAATTGTCGAAATGTTTCTTTTGTTCAATTATTCAGTCAACACACCATCAAAGAAAATAACCTAACAGCAAAAATGGATAACTGGGGCTTCTACAACAAAACAGATCTTTAAAAAACAAAACAAAACAAACAAAAAACAAACCCGGAGATTTTATTGAGACCAAAAAGTAAAATTACTAAGTTAAAAAACAATTCAGACCATGGAAATAGTCGGAAAAAAGACAACGCGGGGCAATTCCCTATATTAAGATAAATAAGATCGATGGCAAGATTATACCACAAAACGACTAGCTCTGAAGAAGGCGAACCCCCATAACAGGTTACCTCGCAAAAAGTTTGGGGACTTGTATTCCGCCTGAGATAACAACTAAAGAGGACCCTCAGCGTGAGACTCAGCCCCAGTCGCCGACCACCGCACAGGCGCCCTCTCCGGACCCCTCAGGCCTGTCGTTAGCTGCGGCCTGCTCCGGCCACAAAGAGACCCCCTTCCTCCGGCCTGGAGCCCGACGGTACTCACCGCGAGTTCCAGAGGCTGCGCGGGGTGGGGTCAGGGGGCTGCAAAGGGTGGGCAAACACAAAGAAAAGGAGTGGAGAAAACAGTACGAAAAACACTGTTGGACCAGGCCCCTCCAGCCACCAACTTCCAAACCTGTGGAGGTACTACACCGGCCAGCGCGCATCTTGCCCCAAAGGCACTTCCGGGAGCTCTCTAGGAATCCAGGAGGTCTGACAGCTCTATGGTCAGACGACTGAGCAGACCAAAGCACCTTGTTTCTCCAGGGCGTTACACTGTGACTTGGGCTCCTCCTGCGTCTGCGTACGTGAAAGTCCTGGCTACTAACGGATTTGGATGTCACCTGTGCCTTGCGCCCTGGTCAGCTCAGGCGTTGACTGCCAAGGGTAACGGTCCCCAGAGGCAGGTCCGAGGGCGTGCAAAGGCCGGCCTGTGCTGGCAATAGAAGGGAAGGGAGTACTTCAAAGATCTTCGCGATGCTAATCGCTTATTTGAGTTTGACCCTCTTAGTTACTTTTTTTTTTTTTAATATTTTTTAGTTATACATAGACACAATATCTTTATTTTGTTTATTTTTATGTGGTGCTGAGGATGGAACCCAGGGTCTCTCACGTGCGAGGCGAGCGCTCTACCGCTGAGCCACAACCACAGCCCATTACTTTGTATTTTACTGTTTTCTTAAGTATATCGAGTCCTCCATAAACTGCAAATTTCTTGAGTAATTCCTGCTACTCATAGTTCGTATTTCTGTTATGGAAATCCCCTATGACAGCTAGGAATAGTACACTTTACATTCAATAACTAATTGCAATTGAACATAAATCCTTTTTGCATTTTTACATATTTTCCATCCTTCTTATTGCAATCTCTTGGAAAACCTTTTTTACCGCTTAGCTTTTTAAATGCTAAATCTGTCATATAAGATTTAGGAATAGACTCCGTTTTAAGATCACAAAATTCAGGGGACAAATCTGTGTTTGTTATTTATATACCTCTTTTTTTTTTAACCTTTTACTTGTTTTTATTTTTATGTGGTGCCGGATCGAGCCCAGTGCCTCACACATGCTAGGCAAGCGCTCTACCATTGAGCCACAGCCCTGGCCTCTTATGTACCTCTTGTACAAAAGCTTTTAACTTTCCAACCTAAATAGGACTTGTGGGGTGGAGGTTTTATTTTTGTGTTTTGGTCCCACTTTTTAATTTTTTTATTCTTTCAGTACCTTTCCTAACTACCCATTTTTTATGAGTTCTCAGGTGCCCCTTCAAAACTTTACCTTAATCTCCATCTTTGTCAGCTTCTGTTGGTAGCCACCTCCAATGTTTCTAACACTTCCTCATTTTTAACTCCTAAATATTTTGCTCCTCTTTCAGGATAAAATCTTAGCAGTAGTTTTCATTTGATTTATGGGTTTGTCATCTAATCATCACACAAATAAATAACAATATACACCAAGAAGTTACAGTGTTTCTGGACTCTTTCAAAGCACTTATTTTTGCTCTTTATTTCACAGTTCTTGCCTCCAACTGGCATAGTACTGGAGATAGTTAACAACAGACTAGAAGTCTACTCTCAGATTTCTATGTTTAATTTTTTTTTTTTGAGGTGCTGGGGATTGAACCCTGGGCCTCAGATGTACCGGGTAAATGTTTACCACTAAGATCCTGTCTTGAAAAATAATAATCTTTAACAATAGCAAAGACATTACAAGTTAAATAGTATATTTTGTGAAAATTAATAATATTTTCCAAAACAAATAGTGATAGGAGTAGAATTAATCTCTTTTAATGTCTTTTTAAATGGTGTATGGATTCTTATATCTGCTTCTTCACTCAATCTCTCACTTTTGCTCAGTGTCCCCTGCTCTAGAAGTGTACTTCCTATTGCTCTTCACTTTCACTTTAATCAGAAAGTTTTCTATAAGAATCCAAAAGTAAGGTGAATAAAAATGAGAAAATGGGAAAAAGGAGAAAATAATATGGCTTATTTCAAGACCAAGTTGGAAGAGTGACATAGATATCGCTCCCTTCTAAAAGTCTGAAAAACTAAAAATGCATTTTTAAACAGTGCTAGCAAACAGAAGAGTGCAATTAGTGGATCAGAAATTTAAGGAATTGCTGGAAAATAACGAATTAGGAAGACCAAGGCCTAAAAAAAGTATAGCAGAATTTAAGGTTATTCTTGTCCATTACAGTGAAACAAGGGGGGAGAAAAATAAAGACAGCACTGCTTAGGAATAAAGAATCATGAAATTCTTTACCCCAGAGAAAGTAGTTTTCATTTTTGGTAATTGTAGAGGTCCTCAGCTGGTCTGCAATCTCCCTCTTCATTTACTCCAAAGGAAGTGCTGCCTGTTTTGCAACTATCATTGAGTGTTATTAATATTATCAGTTTCTAAATTATCTTGAGCCTTTTTTGATTTACTGAGATGAAATATGGAGATATAAGAGAAGCCATCAGATTTTTTTCTTTGAAACACACTCTTCTTCATTAGCATAACAACATCCTTGATTCTAATTACTGCATACCTTCATGATTGCAACAGCTATGAGATAGTCTTAATTATTCTAAATATGGCTATTATTAGGTTCATGTCCTTAAATATCATTATCATTTCCCCAATCACTAATCGAGTGGCTCCTTATCTCCTATGAAAACAAATTTAAACTTCTCTGCTTGCCTTTTATTCTTGTTTTCCTTAAAAATTAATATAAATTATAAGAGATGATAAAAATTTATAATCTATACATATATGTAAAAAAACCTGACCCCCAAATGCTATTAAATTGTTGGGAGAAAATTCCCCAAATTCTGTAATTTCTCCAAGTCTTGTGGCAGATTTTTGAGATTATCTCTTCAATGATGTTTTATCTACTTTCAGGGCAGGTTTGTTTCCCAAGCAGGACAATAACAATAAAGCCTTGCCAGGTGAGGTGACGTGCCAGTAATCCTGGAGAGGGAGGCTGAGATAGGAGGATTGCAAGTTCAAGGCCTCAGCAACTTAGACATATCTCAAAATAAAAATAAAAAGGACTGGGGATGTGACTCAGTGGCTAAGCACCCCTGGGTTCAATCCCTAGTCCAAAAAAAAAGGCCTCACCTTGGGGCAAGATTGAGCAAAGACTGGGGTTTCCTAAACTTGGAGTTCCTCTACTAGGATGCAAATGGACCTGTGTGAACAACATTTACTCAGCTCCCACCACACCACAGTTTTGGGTGAGGGGAGGAAGAGAACATGACGTTCATGCTTGTCATTAAGTAATAAAGGCTTTTGTTTCTGATCTGGGAGTCTAGTTTTTTTTTTTTTTTTGCTAGTATCCATAAAACTGTGGCAAGTTAAACTGTTAGCTTGCAAGTAAGGGTAACATCTTCACAAGTTTTCTACATAGGAAGTCACTGTTAAACTTGGAGTGCATCCTTTTCATAATTATGTACAGATACCATACATAATTACTCCATCTTTGTATAGTTCCCCCCCCCAATGAGAAAAATATATATCCTCTTCTACACTTCTTTTTTCATTGATAAATTAGCATTTTAATGGATGAATAGTAATCTACAATAGGACACAGTATATGTAATTAATCCTGTATTGACATTTAAATGTTTTTTTTCCTACTATCAGCAGTCCCTTCTGCCTTTTATTGCTCTCCAGAATATCCATCTCCCTACTTAGTCATTTAGTTACATTTCCCCAGTACTCTGAAGTCAAAGTACTTGTTATTCCCTACTCATTCTAAGCACTGGTCTATTATTCTACAACAGTTTGTTCTCTCTTTCTTTCTCCCTCAGATTTTATCATTCCTTTTTGTACTGATCATATTGTTTTAGATTTCTTGTTATTATCATATTTTCTGCCCCAAACAGTAAAGCTCCTTTGGTTTAGGTGTTTAATATTTGTTCTGAGATCACCTCAATTCTGACAGTGGCAGCCTGCCGCAGTCTGGCTGGGCACAAATGCCGCAGTCTGGCTGGGCACACAATCACAAGCCACCACACAGCTTGTAGATTCAAACAGCAACTCTTTATTCCCGAACTCACACCAGCCGTCTACAATCACGTTCTGGGGAAATCCACGTTCTCTGCCCAAATCCACCCCCACTGGGCTTCTGTCTCCCAAAAAATACTGTCTGAATCCCGTGAGAACTCAAGGGGAACTCAGGCAGCAGGATACGCCCTATTCCCAGCAGGAATAACCTTAAACCTGGAAACACCCTAAACCCGGATAGTCCTAAACCGGGAACGCCCTAAACCCAGATCCACCTTGGTCCTTGAGCAAGGTCACCTACATGCAATGTCACTGCAAAATGTCCTATTTCCACAAGTCCTTCTACTAAGCAACATGGGGTACTCTGGCAAGGAAATTGTCATACCTACTTGGCTAATGGCTCCCAGCATCTCCCCCCTTCTGATTAATTAAACAACAAGCAATGTGGCTTAAGGACCGTGCCTGGTAGGTTGTCCAATTCAACATATGGTTCTTACCCATCATGGGAAAAACTGACCTTTAGGCGTCAGCCTCCTGTCTTAGGTTGATACCACTGCAATTGGATCATACCCGTCACTGACTACCGGTCCAGCATATAGCCATTGGCCCCCAGATTTTAGACCATCACTAGCAGAAGGGAGGAGGATACAGAAATGCCACGACACCAAGCCAATTGACGGCTCCTTGGGAAAAATTGCATCACTGGTGACACCATCAGCAAAGATATGCCAGCACTACCACAATTAACATGGGGTGCGCTGGCAAGGAAATAAAAATTGCATCACTGGTGACACCATCAGCAAAGATATGCCAGCATTACCACAATTCGCTGCACCAAACAATAGTTACATAGTCCAGGCAAGTTCTGCAAGCAGTTCAAAGCGGAGGAATCTATCAATATGTCCATTTCCTCCCAAAGTAAATCGAGTCCTTTATTGAGCATTACTTGTTGAGTTATATTCATTGATGCATCAGTTTATACAGTTTACTGTGATAGCTATCATAGAAGCTGTAGTTTGGTTTTATCTTTGTCTTCACCGGCACTGGGATGAAGATAGGAATTCTGGCAATGATGCTAAAGAGACATTATCCTGAAAAGAATTATTAAATATAATGAAAAGGAAAGGTGAAAGTAAACAAACAGATCTGTTAACATACTTTAAAAACAATCCTTAACAGCTGTTTACCTAATTTAAATT